GTTCAGCATCAATCAGTAGATGCAATGACCTACGAGGGATTAAAAGGCGTATAGGATGTGCACCGGACAGGTGCTGATATCTGTCTCACGGTGTGCTTCGATCTTGTCTCCCATTTCGATAATGAAACTTCTTGAACTGGTGTTCAATGGAATTCCACTTCGGAGCGTTCTAGAAGAGCGTTAAGCACGATACCCTTGATTGCAGGAGTCGCTAGCAAACGAGAATCCCAATAGTAAGAACTCCGGTTCGACTCGGCCTATTTGCGTGTCAATGCACTGCATCTATTCGACAGCAGGAGTAGTTGACATGACACGAGGCTACGCTATTGCAAAAGATCAATTCCACAGCCTGTCTCTTCATCGCGACGGTCCTCAACAGAAGCAGCAGGGCAACAGCCATAGGGTTTATCGGGGTGGGGGAGATTGGCGTCTCGTGTACATCATCACTACGCTCGCTGATGATGATTCTTGGAGGACAAGCCGTGCTTTAGTATTGAGGCCTAACACTCCTTACGGTACGGCTTGTCAAATATGAGGTGCCTGGCAATGGGGGAAATAAAGAAAATGAAAAAAAAAGTTTTTTTTTTCTTTTGGAAGGGCGCTAGATTATCTAGATAGTTCTTTCACTGGCGCGCTACGTTCAACTCAGGGCCAGTGAACTAGATAGTTGTCTGAGCAATAGTGGTGGCTATGACAGCCATTTCTCTTTCAATTGTTTTTATTTGTTGACGCCGTGTGACTGATTGTATTATCCTTAAGTTCCTCTGCTTAATCGGGTGTGAAGTAAAGAGATCAGCATAATGGATAGATTAAATATCTGCAGTAGTCAAGTAATAGATACATATATCGAGGAAGTTCGTAAGAATTGATCCTATGTATCCGAAAGGTGTTGAGACAGCAATACCGCTCGTTCACAAGAACGAGAGCAAAGTTCGATCTTCGGATGGAATGAGAGCCAGATGACACGGAGAATTCGGTCGAAAGAGCCCAATTTAATATCCGATAGTGATTGTCTGATTGATCTATCCATATGCGCCGGGAGAGACCCGGTTCGTCTATGGATTATCATCAATGCTGCATCGATTACCTACCAATGCGTGTATTCGCGCATTTCACTCGTCCTTACGCCGGCGGCGGCCCAAATCCTACTGACATGGATCGCGCGCTTCGAAGATCACTGGTGATACTATATGTTTGAATAGTGATCTCAGGCTGTGTAGCGCAATGTACTTGGTAGTGTAGTGTAGTATAGTGTAGTTTGGGAGATGCTCGAATTAGGAGGATCGAGGTTTTTTTCTACAGGTGAGAAAAGTTGGGATCCTTGGTGGCTGGGCGCACGGACCAAGTGTATGATGCCAAGCAGCTAATCAGGGGTTATTGACTAGGGTACCTGTAGTACGGCCGACTCGTAGAGATAATATTTTACAGGCCAAAATGAGGATTCAGTGTTGATGAAATATCGCCGAACTTGGTTTCTTTTCCCAGCTTCTTCATATTGACTGTTACTGCCCAAGGCCGCCGGAATTTAATAGCGCTTCTTCGTTAAGAGCATCGTCCAAAAGCAACGGGGGCAATGCGATAGTATCCCTTATACGATGATATCATTTTTCTGACTCGAGAGCCGAAACTAGGACGATACCATATTGAACACGAAGAAATGGGGGTCTAGGGAATCATTCTAGCAATTGACGATGTCTACAAGATGTCCCTTGACATGCCGCGCTACATCAGAGCAGGATTATACGGGGCGACGAAGCGACTATAGTCAAGGTAAAGGTGGCGTCTTTATGAAATATCGTATTCATCAAGCTACAAGCCGCTTGCCGATGGGTAAGACGATGAACTAACGCAGGCTCATTTCGCCACGAATGCATTAAGCATGTTGGAAATGGTGACCAAGTCGCACGTCTCACAACAAATCGGAATTTATGCCCCTTTCATGAGATCTCATGTTAGCCGGCCATCGGCTAAAGCTGTCAAGGCATTTGTTATTCGTTTAAAGAGAAGTCAGTCTGATGCCATAGTTTGGTCTTTTTAACTACCTAGGTACTTAGGCTGCATGAGACTCCTAACTTCAAATCCTCCACTGCTCGTCATCTTCTGAATGAAATCATGGAGACTTGAGAGCTTCCTCATTCACTGCACGTCTTATTTTAAAGAAGGGGGAGGAGCAAGAAGAAGTGCCAGGTCATCGTTAGGGCATGGTTCGACGAAAGCTTCGCAGACAATTGTCGCCGACCCAATCTGTATCTCCCAACTCACTTCTTCTTCGGCTGTTGTTTAGAAGTGCTTTGGTGAGAAGTGTCTAGGCGGAGAGGGACCGTTTCAAAGCCGTCTTTATCCTTGCCCTTCGGTTGATCGTCATCAGCATTTGGAGGCGGCCAATAGTCCCAGCTGGACACGAGCGGCCCGTCCTTCACGATGGGATTCTTCTTGTCAACGAGCACGAACATGTCCTCTTCCTTTTCCTTGGCAGCCTCCTGTCGATCGAATCGATCGAGTCTTTTGGGCTGTTTGGACTTCTCGGGCTTTGAGCCGCTGCCTTTGCTGGTACTGCCGCCGCCGACATTGCTACCGCCGGCGTTGCCGCTACCGCCGGTGCTACTGCCGCTACCGGTGTTGCCTGACTTCTTATTCCAGTTGCCGAACATTGTGACTTGGTCTGTCTTCTGACTCGCGAGTATCTGAGGTATGGCACGATTTCGGTGTCACGAGGGCAAGTCTGGCGATTCAGAAACAGTAGATATAATGTCAGAGACCACCTATACACTCACGTAGTCACCGAGACAGATGCTGTTAGTACTTACTGGTAGCGTTGTGTATCCGGACGGGACCAGTGTCCGGTTGTTATGGTACCTTCTAGATAGTGTCAGAGCGTATCCCGTACCACTGGAAATAAACACTTCGTTGCGTAACATATGTGCTCCCTTACCTCTTTTCCTTTCCGTAGCTGAAACTCACAGTCCGGTTGTCTTGTTTATCGATGTAGGACTTGTGTTACGGTACAGTTCCAGGTGCCCTCGCGAGGAAGTAAGTTGCTTAATATACTTCGACGGGATATTCTCCGCAGCTAGGAGGGCTTGAAACTGCCCAGGTTTTCTGCGGTCCTCAATGGAAGCTCCTAGGTGCGAGTCGCCGTCGGTATGTTGATTCTAGCTGGCGAGAGCTTCCAGTCCAAACATCGGAGGGCAGTTGTTTGCCGTCGGCCCACGCAAATCTGAAACCGCACCAGAGTCCTGAGCATTTGCAATTGCAATACGCATAGTGGGCGCATTATATAAGTATGTATTTACACAAAGCTTAAGAAATCATGGAGTGATCATGGATCCATGATGATAATCTTCTTGCTGGCCAATCCGTGCTGTTGGTAACAATCACGCATATATAGCATTTCCAGTTCAAGTTTAATATTGCGCTACGTAGAGTGATTGCACTTAATTTGTAACTCTATTGTGGACGTGATAAAATCAATTTCTCTACTAGCACTAAACTTTCATTTCGACTTTCACTGCTTTGGCTACCGAAACTGCAATAAAGGAGAGAGAAACTAGAATAACCCGCCTTTCAGCTATATCTCAATCTAGAAAAGAAGGTCCTAGATATACATGATACCTTGTTGACCAAGAACACCTACCGCGCTTTTAGCAACTAAGGAAGGCAAGATGAGACCAATAAAGGAGCAGCACGAACTTGCTTCAAGAAGCTGCTAGGGGATCGAACTCCGGAAAGAACGCATCAATAAATTTTGCCGCCATTAGATGGAAAGAGAGGAAGGGCCTCTGAGATAGAGGAGGATGAGGGCGGGCGCCATCTGCTAATCATGTATGTCAAGAACTAGATGGGCTGCATCATACCTTTGCGGTAAGAGCACGGTAGGTATAGAACGGCATATAGGTCCCTATTCAGTGACAGTGATGCATGCGCAATTAGCTAGTCACAGATTTCGGTGCACGTGCTAAGGGGTGGTCTTCAGCATGACGCCTAGCGCTATCTACACAATTTGAACGTGGTCCTGGTGTTCATATGGTTCCTCACAAGTTGGTAATTTAACCATGCGGCGAGATACCAAGGCCTAGATGCTGTTGAAGAAGTAGAACGGCTAAAATAATGAAAGTCTTTTTCGTTGGCGGTAACTACGGGCGGAATAGAGTTACGGGAGATAGCGAAGAGCCGATGAATCTAATTTGTGAGTCAAGGGGGCTGGCCTGGATGGTGTCAGTGTTAAGCCTCAACTAGACATTGTCAAATGAAAAAGAAAGAAAAAACCGGCAAGAAACTAAAGCTACGTATAATGTACGGCAACAACTGTATCATTAGACAATCTTTCCGTTATCTTTCATCCAATCGCCGGTGCTCTTCGGAGTCTGCTTGGGCGGCTCAAATGCGGCGGCCTTATAAAGCCACTCAAGTGAGCTCCCCTTTTGTTTCTTTTCGGCTTCATCTTTTGGCGATTCAGTCTTAGTAGGGCTCGGAGGGTTCGGAGGGTTCTTCGCGTCCTTACTGTCAGACATTGTGGCCTTTGACTCAACTTTTGACTTTGCACGAGTCTCTTATGGGCAATATAGTGAGATACCTTGGCTTCTCTTTGAATATATCGGTCAGGATGGGAGTGGTTTCGCTTGATTCACACTTGGAGAGGAAACCAATGAGTAATATATAGAGATTTAGTATTCGTCTATTACTCTTCGAGAGTACCAGATTGCTGTTCTCCTGTCAGTAGAATATTCTATCAATCTCTATTAGTGAAACAATCGCTTTGTATTCTGCGTTGAAACCACGACTCCTGTCTGTAGGGCGGTTGTTTCAGGATCATCGAGCCGTTCTCTTCATCACTCATAGAGGGGCAAAGAAAAATGACAAAGACGCCAGAACAAAAAAAGAGATGGAAGGGGTCTATGTAGGCTGGTATCCCTAGCGATTAGGGAGCATCAGGAATTGAGCCCGATGCGGGGGTCGAACCTATTCGACTGTCAATAATTGCGTCTGTGTATTGTGTGTACTACACTGATCGTGCACTTACCCGCAACCTTGAGATTAAGAGTCTCACGCTCTACCGATTGAGCTAACCGGGCAGATATTCGTCTCGTGGGTGATATTACATAAATAGACCGATGGTGTAGAGGAAATACGCCTTGTGGGACTTTCTGTGGTTCGCTGTGGCGTCACAGTATTTACACACGAATCTATCGTCCGTGCGTGCTACGTGAGCGGAAAAGTCAAGAGAGTACTCCATATGTGCTTCTATTGCCTTAGCCATAAAAAGGGAGTAACCGGAGTGAGAGATAATGAGTAGGCATATTGACGATAAAGTAGTTAACTGAAATGTTGTTATGGGACTACCTAGGTAGCTCAGATGGCATGAAGCTTCGCTACATCGTGAACGACGCTTCAGGGGTTAAATTGCAGCGCTGTTCACTAAAGGTCCGGACAGAAGAGAGATTCAGCCAGTCTTTTCCAATTCCGTCTAGCCCCATAAGCCACAGTTTCAGTCAAGCCACAAATAAATACCCGAAATGCAAGCTAAGCCTCGGTACAGAGTACGTACCTTCTTATCAGCAAAGTGGAGCCTCGAGCTTCAGAGCTTGGATCCAAAATTTTTAATCTGGCGCCGCAGTTTTCCCATTCGCGCAACAACGGCAGCCAGCTCCCAGCAGCATTCTTGATCTACCAACCAATTTGAAGCGCGAAAGCCAATCCCTACGAAACGACCGCGCCCTCTTGGACGTATATATCTATCGAGTATCGTGTATGCGCACGCACACGCGCCAATTGACCGATCCACGATGCCGCACATCGACTATCTCCTGCACGAGACGGCGACGGGGTATGCGCTCTTCAAGGTCCTGCACCAGCAGGACGATGTAGCGCTGCGCCTGGAGCAAACGAAGCAGGCCGCCGAGGACCTGGCCAAGCTCGGCAAGATGATCAGCCTCACGTCCTTCGCTGTATGGAAGTCGGCCGCCGACGCGCTCGAGAACATCCACGCCATCTCCGAGGGCCTGATGACCGACTACCTCAAATCCACCATCGAGCTCATCATCCCCGTCTCCAAGAAGAGCAAGATCGTTCTGGGCGTCGCTGACAAGAACCTGGCTGGCAACATCAAGGCCGCCTTCCCCGGCATCGAGGCCGAGACCGGTGACACGTCCGATGTCGTCGCTTTTCTCCTTCGTGGAGTCCGCATGCACTCGTCCAAGCTCCTCAAGGATCTGAATGAGGGAGACGAAGAGAGGGCCCAGCTGGGCCTCGGTCATGCTTGTAAGGGCGCTCGGATGCCTCCAGCCTCACCGTTGCACTATGCTGACGGCTTTGCCCAGACTCACGATCTAAGGTCAAGTTCAATGTTCACCGGAATGACAATCATAGTAAGTCCTCGTAGTCATGGCTGTACCAGATCTACCGGAATCTTGAGATGAATTCATGAGATTGGTTTCGAAATGGTAACTGACAAACATCGTTTTAGTTATCCGTGCTATAGCAACGTAAGTCGAACTGCAAAACCACGCTTTACTAGACTTCCATTAACTCTCTCCTGTATAGCCTGGACAATCTAGACAAGGTATGTCTTCGATCGCTGCGGTTGTTCGTACCAGATCACGAGTAACATTAATTGCTGACATTTCACGCAGGGCATCAATTTATTTGCTCAGAAGCTGTAAGTGCCACTACACAGCAATACCTTCCCGTGATGGCCGATGCTAGGAGCAGATATCTCGCCATTCATATAGGACACATGTTCCAAATCAAATCGGTGCTGACCATTGGTTTCCCTGTGATACAGCCGCGAGTGGTACAGCTGGCATTTCCCTGAATTGGTATGTATGATGCCCACCCTTGCTGCATCGCGCCTAACGTGTACGGTTTAGTACGCGATATGTTCCGATAATCTCACCTACGCAAAAGTAGCGGGCTTTGTAGGAGATAAGAGCACATTAAGCGAAGACAAGCTGCATGAATTGGCTGGACTAGTTGGTGATGACGAGGAAAAGGCGACCGAGATCATCATGAAGGCGAAAATATCTATGGGAAGAGAGATCAGCGAAGTCGACCTTGAAAATGTTCTCACATTTGCCCAAAAGGTGCAAAGCCTAGCAGGTAAGGCTCGGATTCGCGTCACACATGACTTGCAATTACTGATCTCTTTTTCCTCGAAACAATATAGAATATCGACGGACTTTGTATTCATATTTAACGAATAAGATGGATACTGTAGCCCCAAATCTTGCTACTCTGAGTAAGCGCATCCTCATTATCCGTTCGGCTCTTTGGGTTAGGGGCTTGTTTCCTCCTCAAGCTAGGAAGACCTAGCCATTGTTCCACTGTCAGTGGCATTGCTAACCCTGATCGCAAATAGTTGGGGATATAGTGGCTGCTCGCCTTATCCAAAAAGCCGGCTCTCTTACCAACCTCTCCAAATACCCTGCTTCTACCCTTCAAATACTGGGCGCAGAAAAGGCTTTGTTCAGGGCTCTCAAAACGAAAAGGCAAGTACACAGCTCTCTCCGAATTTTAACCGTGCCCGTGGATTCTCGGTGACTTTATACTATGTACCACAAATTCTAACAATAATTATCTCCTGAAGCGCTACACCAAAGTATGGTCTTATCTTCCACAGCAGCTTTATTGGACGAGCTGCGCAGAAAGATAAAGGTCGAATCTCCAGATATTTGGCAAACAAATGCAGTCTGGCGTAAGTATTGTTCTGTCACCTCCCTAGGCTTAATAGAAGAGCGGTTGCTGATGAGGTCCGACAAAGTGCTCGTATCGATACCTTTTCCGAGCAACCTTCTAAGAAATTCGGCGAGGCCCTGCGGAACCAAGTTGAGGATAGACTAGAGTTTTATGCCACTGGCAAGAAGCCTACCAAAAACGCCGACGCCATGGTATGTTCTGTTCTTGGGTACTATCATCCTAGCCACTAACGCATCGATAGGACAAGGCTGTAGCGGATTTACTGGCCGAGGGCGAAAGCATAGCCATCGACACCGAGATGATTGATGCGCCGCTCCCGCCTACGGCGCAGACATCAGAGAAAGAGAAGAAATCTAAGGACAAAAAGGAGAAGAAGGAAAAGAAGGACAAGGAGGAGAAGAAAGAGAAGAAGCGCAAACACCGTGACGCCAAGGATGCCGAGGATGGAGACGCCGAGGTCGAGGGCGAGAAGAAGAGGAAAAAGAAGAAGAGGCACTCCGAGGCGTAATCCGAAATCCAACCCGCCCGCTGAGGCGCAATGTCGAACTCGGCAATCTGTCTGCCGGATCTCGGGGAACCGGTGTCTCGCGCATGGTAATAGGCGTTTCGGATCTGGGATGCTCTTTCTTGCTGGTACTTCGATATTTCTCTGTATCTGCCTTTCTCTGCCTCTGCCTCTCTTTCTGTGTATGTGTGCGTACCTTGCTTGTATACATGTCTGGGGCTAATACCCATCTAACCATACTATCTTGCTTGCTGTCAATTCACCCCTGCTTCCTGCCACACGAGGAAGCATAGCTCCTCAGATTTCTCAGTATTTGTGAAGAGCGCTATCACTAGCAGAATTGACAAGGGATAAGTAAGCAAGTTAGATGATGGTATCTTCACATTGATCTATCTCATCGTAGATGCCAATCGTAGCAAAAAGAGAGAGGCACACCCAGCGAGCCAGCCCCCATCCCGGCCCGGCCCCCTTGCGCCACGCCTTCCCATTGGACAACGACGCCTCCAACGCCATTATAATGCCTATGCCTGTCTGTCTGCTCCATCTGCTCTTTCTTTCTCTTTTTCTCTCTCCTTGTGTCTTATCTCGCTTTGCCATCATTTCATTCATCTGTACATGTAATCTCGTCCTCGCGCGCTCAGCGTGTCGTGCACTAGTCTACCTAGGTACTTAAACAGAAGTGATGAATGTATGGCGCTTATGTGACGGTTGAGGCGAACGGCGACTTGTGTATGTTGTATGTTGTATGTATGCAGGTATATGTATATGCGCATGTGTCCGTATAAGTGTGTGACTAATTTCCCTCGCTGCCAAATTCTTGGGTCCACTCGGAATTCCGTTTCAAGTCTTCGTCGGCGACCGTCGGCCTCGACGACTTGATGGCCTTGACGAAGTCTTTGAAGTCGACGAGCGGTTCGAGGAGCGTTTCTGCGTCGATATCGTCCCACGTCATCTCCTTTGCGCCCGGGCTGCCGGGCGAACATGGCGTGACCCTTAATACACCGTCTACAGTTACCTGGGTTGCAGTAGCTCATGTTAGTGCCTGTTCGCGCGTGGTGTCCGTGGAAGGGAAAGAAAGGTGTAAAAGAGATTTGACGTACCTCTTTGAAATGCGTCGCCTGCTGGATTTTCCGTACGGGCTGCATCAGCGCGTCCTGTACGGCAATGGTTATATCGCTGCCCGAGTAACCGTCGGCTAGTTTAGCGAGTTCACGGTAGTCTTCGCTCTTGAGTGTGGTGGGCGTCTCGCCAATGGCGATCTTGAACATAGTTGTCCTGGCGCCGACGTCGGGTAGGCTGATGTGGACTCTGCGCTGGAAACGTCTTCGTATGGCGGCATCCAGTTGCCATGGAATGTTTGTGGCGCCGAGCACGAGCACGCCTGTCGAGTCTTTGCCCACACCATCCATCTGAACCAGCATTTCCGTCTTGATGCGCCGGGACGCTTCCGATTCGCCTTCGCCGCGGGGACCGCAGAGGGCGTCGACTTCGTCTATGAATATAATCGATGGTTTGTTCTCGCGGGCCATGGCAAACAGCTGTTTCACGAGCCTGCACATGACAAAAAAAGGCCTTGTTCAGCATGCCACTTGTGTCCTGTGCTAGAAAAAGGCTAGAGCTAGACGTACCGTTCGCTTTCACCCATCCACTTGCTGACCAGATCGCTACTGCTCACGCTGAAAAAGGTGCTTTTGGCCTCAGTAGCCACAGCCTTGGCCAGATAACTCTTACCGGTACCGGGCGGACCGTACAGCAGGATGCCCTTCCACGGCTTCCGCTTGCCAGTGAAGAGGTGGGGAAACTTGATGGGCAGCAGCACGGCCTCTTTGAGAGCCTCCTTTGCGCCGTCAAGGCCGGCAACGTCGTCCCACTTGA